TCGTGGCAAAACAATGTGTAACTAGTCTGCTGGAATAGTAGAGTATCAGCACTGACATTTTTGTGACCAATTGTTAAAAGTAAATATTTCTGTTTATGCCATGATTTGATCAAATTCGGCCAGTGTATAGCGGCGGTCGAGCAACCGTGCAAATCCAGGATACTTCTCTTTCACGTCAAATGGACCGATCAAAACAATAATTAACTTTCCAACACTTTTTTCCAAGTGACCCCCTTAATAAATTCTATTTTACTATATGCCAATAAATAAAATCAAAGGCAAATCTGCATAATCTGTAACTGACTAATTCAAGTGGGCGAGTTTGAAAATTTCAAACTCACTCAGATTGACGTTTTACATCTCTATGTTTGGAGATTTTATAACAAAAATCCTTCGTCATTTATTATGCACAATTGAAAAGTTGAACGTGTTTCAAGACTGATATTTAGCTTAATATTTAATATTCAACGGGCAGGTTGTTAAAACGCCTACCGACATTCCATTTTTGCTAACATGTTAATGATAATGAAAGAAACATATTTAAGAATATTAATTGCGCCTTTTGTTTATGTGCCGATGACGAATACCATATAATAGGAGACTTATATATTTTCTGTTCGTTTTGTTAAATACGAGTATATTTATTGTAGAGTATGATCGAAAAAAAAACGGCGTCAAAGACGGCTGGGGAATAATCTTGGTGAGGTCAATCTCTAGAGATCATTTATTAAAAAATGGCATAAAACTTGTCAAAAATTAACACTAATTATAGACAGATTAAAAAACGATGAGCGTTTCCAGACACAAAATTATTTCCAAAAAATTATTTTTCGTCGAGTTTTATACTATGCCATTTAAAAATAATTTTTGCTCAATATAGAAATGAATAACACGCCTAGGGCCTCGTCAAAATTATCATCGATTATCATTCCCCAGCCGTCTTTGACGTCATTTTTTTTCGGTCGTAATTGGCAGTAGTTTACAAACTAATACAGGGTGGCGTCTCTCAAACGACGCGGAGGCTCCATGGAGAACGGGAGTTTATATCGAAATGAAATTTTGGAAGCATATGTAGGTTAATTTAGAGCATTTTTTAAAAATATTGAGAGTTCTACAGGGTGCCCAAAAAAGGTTACACATCAAAGTTGCGTATTTTGTAATGGAATACTCTACATATTAATTTCTTTTCGGATTCTAGAAAAAAAAATAGAGGTGAGTTTCATTAAAGAACAATATGTCTAAATTGTAAGGATCTTGGTCTAAGGATTTTGACATATTTCACATTTTGTGAAAATGAAGTATAAATTTTAATTTTCAATAACAGCTACCTAAATTGCAATTTACCCTGTATAACCTGATATTTAACTACAATAATATATATGTATGTTAAATATATAAAGTATATAAAGTATGTTAAATTAAATTAAAATTTGTGCCGAAAAGTTATACAGGGTAAGACAAAATTAATACTGAACACTGGCCACTTTTAAAAGCAAGTTACTCCTTTATTTTAAATGGAACACCCTGTATAGTATACCGGTATTCAATGGAGAATTAATAAATCTTTAAAATACTTTAAAGTTGCTTACCCCTCAGACGAAGATTTTTCTAGATATTTTCATTTTTATGATTTTGCCTCAGTAGATCTTTATTGTTTGATAAAATCTAGGTGGCTATGATATAACCTTTATTAATCTAACAAAAATTAAAGGAGGTAGAGTAAAATTATCAGCGGTACTAAAAAGATACACGTTTAAAACATATTTTAATTATTATAAAATTAAAACTAGATATAAGCGTATAATTATGACAGAAAAATTAGCTAGATGAAATCAAATGCCCAATATGCTTCCTTTCCTGTTCACTGCATAAAATGATTCTCTTTTCAAAAGACATTTTCATGTTAAAAGGCAAGTAAGTCTACCCCGAAAAGCAGTCACAATGTCACAATCATTTCTCTCATGTTGTCGACAATAGTTGGTCGAGTTTTGTAAACACTGTCTTTAACATACCTCAATAAAAAAAGTCAAGACTAGATAAATTATAGGAACATTTAAGTATTCTATTAAATGGTGAATGCACACTGCAGTCACCAACTAATACAATTATAACAATTTTCTCTGATGTAGGATAAGTTTTCATTTTTGGGAAATTTCTGAGAATTTTTTTTGTTGTTAAAGTTGAATTAATTTTACAGCTATGTTGAAGGAACGTCACACGTATCACATCCACCGAAACTTTATCACATAACATAGATCTACTGTCATACATTTTGGGTTTAAAAATTTAAATGTTCCAAGTACAACTACCTAATAAAAAAAATGAAATAGGTATACCATAAAAATAAGAAATATTTATAAGTCAATAGTGTGGCTCTCTGATTCATGCGTATCTCATAATAAGTAATTATTGGAGATGTACTTAAATAGCTACGCTATATTTTCAGGTAATACGCTATAAACTTTTCTAAATACTCTTGATTGTGCTGACGACCGACTGAATATGGCCAAGGTTAGTGGAACACATGCCAAAAATATTAAAAAACTGGTGATGTAAAAAAATAACATTGTGTTGTATCACTATCATATGTAACTGTTCGTATATACATATAGTTACAAAAATGCGGTACAGTTATGGTTTGACTTATTAAATATATAAAATACAGTACGATCAAAAAGTTTTATGATCAAATGACTTTTCACCTTCACAGTTCAAATTCTAACGTAATTATTTATGTGTCTGTTAGCATACACATTATATACTGTATCGTAAGTAGTTCAAAACTTTTTTATCATATTGTATAATTAAAGATTATACTCCATACCTATAAGTTATACCATGTCATTTATAATAAAAATTCATCTATCAAAAAATTGACTAAAATTGACTTTCATTCATTTAGTAGTTCAAAAAAAAAATTAATTATATACGTGATTGTCTCCCTGCTTTATAGTTCATTTTCATTACAAAATTACAACGATCATACAGGGTGCCCCAGTGTTCCAAAAAAGCTCCATATCACGTTTTCTAAGCCATATTTTTACTTCACTAAAAAAACGGCAAATATTTTATAGAATCAAATTTCACTCACATTAAATTTTTGGCCAGTTAAGAAAAATGAATTTTAAAATTGTTTAGTTCTAAAAGTACTCAGTTAAAACTTTTAAAACTTAACAAATGTGCATTAGTGATCCGCGAGTTAGTACTAAAAAAATATGTACAAAATTTCACCCACATCTTAAAAATGTTCGCCGTAACTACTGTATTATGGTTCTACAGGATGAGTCAAAAATAAAAATTTTGCTGTCTATTTTAAATAGACCACCTGCTATTTTATAACATACATACCTATATAAATCATCATTTTCAGTTACATCAGCACAATAAGTCGTTTATCTATTCTCTGCGTGAAAAGTGAAAATTTCATTGTCAAATTAACATGTCTTAATTTGATAATGAAATCTGGTCTTTAGTTAAAAAATAACAAAGATTATTCAATATTATTCAAGCTAAGATTATTCACGCACTTCATAAAATACAGAATAGATAAAACTCTCTTGATTTATGAGAAAAAACGACGAGGAGAACATAATATAAAGTTTTATTTCATCCTGTATATACCAAGAAGTTTATCTTGCTTGTATTGTATGTTATTATACTAGAAAAAAAAACAAGAAAGTGGCAGGTTCGTAAGTTCTTAAGGAGGATGTGCACATCATAACGAAACTTAATAAAAAATCTAATATTTTTAGTATACTCTTATAAAATCTATTCTTTTTGTTTCTATGCTAGAAATGACATCATTTGATCGTATACAGTGTAACGTAAATAAATCATTATGCCACTTCATAATATAGTTTTTTTCCCTTTTATCTGGGTAGTTGGGTGGGGATGTGCTCCTGTACCCATTATGACCAGCCGCCACTGTAAAGAAGCATCAATAATTTGCAGATTTTTAGTTTTGAAAAAGCTCGAAATACGTAAAAGTCGGTAAATATTGAGATATTTTTATATTTTTGGAATCGGCAATTTTATCACAAATTGAATCAGAAAGGAAAATTTAGAGCATTTCATTTAAAAAATCACAACTTTAGTCTAAAATATTCTTAAATTGTGCGCTACATATTGTGCTTGATCACGTATTTTACAATATTAGTTTGGAATAAAAATATCTTAAAGCTAACAGAAAACCTGATGTGGAGCTTTTTCGAAATCCTGGGTCATCCTGTGTTTACACCGGGTGTCATACCGGGTGTTTCTCAAAAGTGGCTTACCCCTATAACTTTTTTATTTTTTCAGATAAATAAACGAGACTTGGTACATTAATATGACATAAATCAGGATTGATTGCCGTATTCATTTGTTTTCGGTCACTTCCTGTTTCACCGGAAATGACTAGAACTTTTAATTTTTAAATGGCACCCTCGGTATTTTTTTACTTTATTCGATAGAAAATGATATTATGAGTAGAATATTATATGCCAACTTTTGACATTCTCGCTTAAAAAAAATCGTATTTTAAATTTCAGTCTAGAGTGCCCTGGATGTTAAAAACACAAATTTTTAATCAAGGAGCTTTGGAAAAATAGATTTGATTGTCTAATGTGTTTCGTGTCTTGTCCTGACCGGGTAAAAGATGCCTAAGTCGTATTTTTAATCATAACTAATTTTTTTTAAATGGAACTATTCTGGCTCAGTATATTTTTTGGTAAAAGCATATTTTTACAAATAATTTGCTACTAGACATTTTTAGACATCATTAGTCGTTATATTTTTGTTCATGGCACTCTATATTGAAATTTAAAATGCTATTTTTTCTTAAATTGAAAATGTCAAAAGTTGACATATATTCAGAATGTCCTTTTCTAGTAAAAGAATACCGAGGGTGTCATTTAAAAATCAAAAGTTGTAGTAATTTCCAGTAAAACAGGAAAAACAATAATTGAATACTTTAATCAATCCTAATTTATGGCATATACTAACATGCCAAATCTGTTTTTTTTATCTGAAAAAGTAAAAAAGTTGAGCCACTTTTGAGAAACATCCGGTATATCCAATTTAGTATCAACCTTTCATATTATGTTAGAAATATTAAACGTTAAATTATTGTCATCCGTTCGGTTTAAATATTCTAAATTACAAAAATGACGATCCTGTATTCCGGAACTACTTGATCCTTGGATAATAGTAGAGCACCGACGATCCAGGCAACTGCCAGTTTGACGCGTGCAACTCGATCAGCTGCAACAGCGTGCGTCTCACGCTCGACGAGCCCGCACTAGCCAAAAATCCGTCACGCACGTTGCTCAACAACAGTTCCAGCTGCTGCGGAATTTCAGCCTCTAAATCGCGCCCGATCGACGTCAGCACGAAAAACAGACACTCCGTTTCCGATAAACACTTGATTGGGAGGCTGACACACGCTTGACAGCATTTGGCGAGCACTGACAGCAACACCAGTTCCGGCTGCAAGGACTCGACTTGGTCTTGAATCTGTTGACGCTTTAGCTGGCCGTATAGTTCAGTTAGAAACCACATAAAAGAAGTGAAACGTGTTCCGTCCCCCGCCTTAATGCCTCTAAGTATTTTGTCTCTTTCTTGGTACCATTGTTGGCACGTGTTTAAAAGAGATTCCAGAAAAGTTTGATTTTTTTCGCCTTCTATTATAGCAACGCATAGTTTTGCTATAGATTCGCTGTACTTGATTCCCTCCACAGCTTTTTCCATTATTGTTTTTACTAGGTCCATAAGTATTCTAGAAGGGAGCTGGTTAGGGTCTTCGACTGCTTTCTTTAAGTTTTCTTGATCTTCTTCAGGAAATACTTTTATATCTACATCTTCCTTGATAATACTTTTCAGTTTTGTAGCGAGATTTTGTGAATCTGATGCTCCCAAGCTTCGGGATCGTTTTAAAGAGAACTGATTTGTTTGGGCGTTTTGGTAGTGGTTAGAGCTAAAGTTGTTTTGATGGTGGACCTGGTGTTGGTTTTGTCCCGAGAATATCGGCTGCGCGAACATTTCTGGAGTGTATGTATAGTTTGGTCTGTGCATTGCTGTCATTAATTGCGCAGCCGACGCGGAGTGTAGTAAGGGTAAGGGCATACCGGCCGAGAGGATGGGTATGAAACCAGGGTGACCAACGTGACGCAAGATGTTTCCGCTGGACTTTGAGTGTTGTAATGGCATAGGTTCGAATCCCATTGCGAGATGAAGATTGCCGCTGGATTTGGAAGGCTGGAGGTCGTTCATGGTGAACTCTTTAGCGTGTACGTTAAGTTTTCCGGTCATGTTAGGCAGATCTGTTCGTACGTTTGGGGGCCGGTAGATCTCCATTGTAGGTTTTCCGGCTTTGATCGTAGCCATAGTCTGACTGCGTCGTTTTAGGGGGTCGCGGATGTTTGATCTGACGAAGCTCCTCTCCCTGGTGATGACACCGGGTGTAGCCGCGGAAAAGTCCGTTTTCTGGCTGCGTTTCACTTGCGACATGTTTTTCGTGTTTCCGTAACTGGTGACGAGCACTTAAAACAATATCGAACGTTCGAGTTTCGAAAAAAGGTTTGACTAATCGACGGTTACCACGCAACACTGCCTATTTTGGCATGGACGAGGTTGCACCGCGGACACTTTCATCGCTTCCTCGGTACGATCGAGCTGTCAGACTAATCGAAGTTAGAAACAAACGGTTGCGGGAGGGAAAATTCGATGACGGATCCACGAAACGCGCCAGGCAGAGGAGCGGTGCGCGTATATTTAGACCGCGTATTTTTAACGGCGATATAAATAGGCGAAGTAAAATTTCTAGGCGTACATCGCACACTACAAGTTCATTATATAAGTAGATAAAGGAGCGTGTGATGCGGTCTGGGCGTCGCGGCCTTATTGTCGGGCTGAATTGGCGTCGGTGGGAGCGCTCGGTGATGCGGTCACCAGGAAGGTCGCGAATGAGAGATGCAATCAAGATAGAGGATGAGCAGCTTATGATTATATTAACGAGGCAATGAGCGTAAAGAGGATACATTGGAATATAGACTCAGATGCAAAAAAAAGCAACGAAAAAATTTTTGGTCAAATATAAAGTTATATTTTTGTTATTTTCAGTCCTGTTTTCATAATTTTTAGTATTGAAAATACTTCTGGCCGCGTTTATATGGGACCCATCTTTGAAAAAACGACATGCTAGAGGCGACATGGAGTTCAATAACCTGCCTAATCAACTTGTCAACGCGTAAGTCGATAGCTGAAGGCCGTCCGAGGGTCGAAATGAGATCTTATTAGTGTGGGCCAACTGTTTTATGGATATGGATGTTTAGTCTCTGAAAGCGGATATTATTATAAAAAAGAATATGCGTCAAGGCATAGGGTTTTAAGTACAGTTGGGCTATTTTAATCTAACTCTTTCCGTATGAGAAGCAGGAGGCAAATTATACGTGAAAGAGCGGAATAACATAAATAATAAATTTAGACTAATGCAATATTTTTTCTTGGCGCGTAGGATAATGCGCACAATCGATGCATTAAAGGGAATAATTAATTAAATCATTAAGTTCCAAAACATATAATAATTCGGGTCTCATCGGATCTGCTGATATATTTTGATAAAATTTAGGCTATTAGGACCTATATTTTTTATATGATAATTCTTTTTTTAATTAACAACTTAGGACACAGAAAAAGCTTGCATGGTTTCCACCGCCAACGTAAAACAAATTAATTCAGGGCGGTGCCAAATATTTATTGGGATAAGTTTTTAAACGATTTAAATATTGTTGTAAATAATAATTATCATTTAATTAGTGCTAACTTATTAAATTTCACAACACAGCGAAATTTCAACAAAATCGGCTAACGGATCTCTGAGATATTAATAAAAAGGTCTATTAGACACCTTGACACCCCTGTATCTTTTAAAGTTGTACATTTCCGGACACATGTTTATATGAACTTTTTACTCAAAGAATCACCTCCTGAAGTTTGGCCAGATACTTAATTAACATCCTGTATTTAAAAATGGCTAGCTAGTGATTTAGTAAGCTATGTTTATTTTAATAGGAAAAAATTCATTTCATAAAAAATAAACAAACTGATAATACAAATACTATACACCAATTAATTAATTTTAATTGTATCTAAAGGCACTTTAATAATTGAAAAATGGACAGGAGCACTTAAAAATAACTTCATAGAGTATACCAAATATGCTAAAAATAATAAGTCCAATAAAAAAACACAAATGGCACATTAAAATCTGCATTATCTGAAATCAAAGTATAGCTAAACGGCTAATAAAATAATAGAGACAAGACGCCGACATCTATAACAAGATGAGCAGTTTTTAATAATTATTCCGAGTTATTATTACATACTTGTTTTACAATTATTGTAATACAGTAGCATTCCTTCAAATAAATTTTGATTTAAGTATTGTTAATATAGTCATTTTAATGATTATAGCCCGTATGATTTCTAAAATAAATAATCAATCGTGTTTTTATCAGAATTATTAAATGATTAAGTAGAAATAGTTAATATTTAGTAACTTCGTAAGTGTTATATTTTAATATAATTATGGATTTAATAATCAAATAATTATCTTAAGTTTAAATTGTGGTAAACTTGTATGAGTTTCAATCATTTATATTTAAAATCTTAGGGAAGGCAATATAGATTTTAGGCAGGAGAACTAGAGAACGACTGTGTAATTAGTAATTAAGACTTTACAATTTTTTTTACTTGCCATTTTCTTGTCATTCACGTTGCACGTTGACTCTTCGTTGTGTCACACACAATCTGAATTTCGGATATGATGCAGAACTGATAAATTGGACCAAATATATTAATTGCAGGTAATCAAAGACATATTTTTGTTAACTTTGCAAACATTTAAGGCATGCAATAATTTTTAAAAAATTTGGCGTGAGATTACTTTATAATTGTTGGAAGTCTTGGATGATAAAGATTTGAATTATTATGGGTCTGTTTTGTTTAAGAAGCTAACAAATAATTAAAATATAATGGTAGCAAATTTTTAAAATCATGCATAGGTATAATGTTCTATATTAATTGGACATACTGAATGTAAACTAGGTATAGTTGCTGCAATCGATAATATATTTTGTTGCTTTTTCATATCACACAACATTTACATCATAACAAAAAACCGTCAATACCGCTACTCATATTATGGGCACCTATGACTTAAATCTCATAATGATGTGTAAAAATACATAGGTATACATACTATGAGTAGTGGTTGTGACGGGTTTTTACTAGGTATGATGAAAAGAAGCTGCAAACTAAGTTATCGTGGAACTATATTTTAATTTATTTTTATCTACAGTAACTATTACTTATTTTTTTGTATTTACGGCGAATTTAAATTTATGGACCGTCCATAAATTTACATGGAAGTTGAATATTGGTTAAACCTAGAAATACCAGGTAATAACCCGAAATATGCAAAAGAGGGAGTGAGTTTAGGTTAGATTAGAATTAGGTTTTAGTTGGTTTTGCATTAATAAAAATATAGGCCTAATCTAAACTTAACCTAAAGTGACTTTTTTGCATATTTCGGCTCTACGTGGGTAACCCTACGTTTAACCAATATTCGGGCTTTTACGGTAACATAATACTCATTCTGATTCGTTTAATCTGGCTCCATAATGAAACTGTGGGTTCGAGGTGCTATTGCAAATTAATGCCATTAATTCTATGTATGTCTATACCTCACATTTCTATAGTGTCGTGATCGTGATCGTGACCATTCATGAATCCGTACACGTTCATCTCCATCATTAATATTTTTCTTACTAAATTCTTCACTTTTATAAAAAGCCATCACGATAAAAATCAAATATCAAAATACTAATACAATATCACTATACGTATCTGGAATATATTTGCGAATGGCAATTTGCGATACGTTAGACTGCCGGAGTGCTGACGTCACGAATGTCAAATTGCTTTCCAAACAAGCTTTAGTTCTTTTATATTTCTATCGAGCTGTTCCAAATGACGTCACAAGTTAATATAAAATGTAAAAAAACAGGTGATTGCTGACCACCGCCGACTTTTGTGTCTGGTATTTTCAATACGCCTATGATGGTTGCGCATGTTGCAAAATCTGTGAATTTTTCAGCAAACTCTGTACAATTATATCAACTTTAATTCGTAAAGTAATTTTTTTATGAACTTTAGTATTTGGTGTATTATACAGGGTTAATCGAGGGGTTGTTTTTTTACCTTAACTTCAAAACATCCTGTGCAATAATTTCGTCTGTAAGTTAATTTTACGGCTAAAATATAATTTTACGGTCAGAACCATGGCTTCTGAACCTTTTGTCTTTTGATTCATGTCAATACTCCTTTTTTGATTCATTTCAATAATCCTTTGGTTAATTTTTAAGAGCCAAATGCTGCTCACGATCAATTTGCAATTTTTTCAATTATCATTAGTTTTTGATGAAATTTTTTAATATGACGAGATGGTTTTGGTGACTATTGTCATAATGTTATGTTACACTGCATTGGATACTTTATACTAAATAAAAAAAAACGTTAAAGACTAACGATAAAGTCCTGGTTTTAATAAACATTAATAACGATAACAGAACTAACGATATTAAAGAAAGCATCTGTAATACTTAAGTATACAAACAAACAAAAAATGTAAAAAATACCCTAATACTTTGCATGGCTTCCCTTGACTGCCATAACTGCCTGTATTCGTCCGTTCATACTGCCATTGAGGCTCCATATATCATATTCTGTTATGCTTTCCCATTCTTCTTTAAGAACTAAGCGAAGTTTATTTAATAAAGCTGGTACCGCTTCGCGACCTCTAACCTTCCTGCCAAGCATGTCCCAAACGTCGAATATGATGGGCAGTTCATAGTAGTATATAGTTCACAATAATCACCAAACCCAAAAGTTATATTGACAAATAACTTCAAAAATAAATGATAATTGATAAAATTGCAAATTGTTGGTGTCTTAAGTTCATTTCGCTCATTATTCGCAAAAAATTACCAAGGCATATATTGGCATGATCCAAAAAACAAAATGCTCAGGAGATATGGTTTTGACCGTAAAATTGTATTTTAAGAAAATTTACACACGAAATTATTGCACATGGTGTTTTAAAGTTAAGGTAAAAAAACAACTCCTCGATTAACCCTGTATAATATGCGAAATACTAAAGTTTATAAAAAACTGAGTTTACAAATTAGAGTTGATATAATTATATACAGGTTGCTAAAAAAATCATAAAAATAGGGCTAAAAATAAAGGAAATATTTGACAAAAAATTTCCCCGTTGCGTTTTTTTTTGCATCTGACTGTAGTACAGGGTGTCCCATTTTCGTGTGATTTACAGGGTATCTCGCTTATGGGGAGAGATACAAAGATGCGGTTTTCACACCATGCTACTTTTTTGTGAAACTTAAGATGCTACACACAGAATTGAAAATGTTGCATTTTTCGACTCCCATCGTATATTATAACTGATCGAAAAGGTGAAAACTGAGCCCAGTAGACTTTTTCACGTAGAATCCAGGGGCGTAACTACTTTTTCGTTGGGAGCTGTCATTTGCGCAATATAACCTAAACTTATGTTTTTTTTAAATGGAACACCCTATATATTATATTTTTATTAAATTTGTCATGAGTTTTCTAAAAATATAATATACACTAGACTTATTTTCGTAAATAAAATAAAAATACATTTTTTAACTTTTTAATATAAAACAACCTAGTTCAAAAGAATATTATTTTATTTTATTTAACCAAGAAATTTTGCTTTCCATCATTTTTTTTTCATAAACAAAATGAGCATAAGCATTGATTGTAATCAAATCTATTTGGCAATCTATCTAAAAACTGCATAACCAGCTTTTAAGTTTGATTGCCAACTTTCAAAATAAAAATAAAGAATAAATAAAAATCTTGAATTCTGCCTATTTCAATACTTTTTTGTATATTCTGTTTGTTTTTCAATACTAATTTCCTTTATAGCTCAGGGCCGATACATCGTTTTACATGGGTGGCCTTCAACAAATTAGAGACAAGCTGCAATTTTGCATGGAGCTTCAT